AATTCCTTAAAGTAAATCACTATCTCTCACACACCCCCACTCCCATACCCATCCACACCCCCTGTGGGTTCTGTTGTTCTGTAGAACACTGGCACAGGGGGTTGTAAGAGTAGCTGGTCATGAGAGCTATAACCGAGAGCCGTGCTTTTTGCAATAGAACTTGGGCTAATTGGTCTACAGCACAATATGGCTCAAGTCGCCAAATGGTAAGGTTTGCCTCCTTCCACCGTGAAGTTCTCATGGATAACTCCTGAGAGTGTATTCAAATTGGCTTAGAGATGGGATGGGTTCCATTCCCTTCTCCATTGGCTTCAAGCTCAGTAGATGCCCCAACACAAAAGAGCTTCCCCCAAATTAGTGGGAATCCAATTTAAAGATGCTTCCAAGAGTTTCTTCACATCTGACAATCAGTGAAGCTGTTAAAGATGCCCCCAGTGAGCATGAGAGAATTATCTATTCAGCTGAAGCTGCTCAGCTGTAGGGGTCAAGGTGAAGGGCCCTGGAAAGAATTGCTCACTGACTCACAGTGAACACTGGTTTGCTTAGTATGTCAAGCCCCACCACAACTAGCCAATTAGCAAACAGGAGATGAGTGAGACCCAGCAGCAGCGACTCCCCTCATGGTGATACAAAGAAGCAGAAAAGGTTAGGTGTATCTTAGTGTTTACTCTCGAAGTGATTTGTATTTTATTTTTCCTTCTTATAAAATGAAGACACACACACACACAAAGCATGACAATGACAATAATATCTATAAACGGAATTGGGAACAGAAGAAATTCACTTTGAAATGTGGAAGATCAAATTACTGATTCAGTTACATAAAAGGCCCATGGGCCGTGGGGCTTGTCCACAGATAGGTGGCTCTTGACACACATGCAATAGAATTTGAGCTCAAGCCAGGTCCCAGGGGGAAGAGTCTTAGTGAGGTGCCTTTGACGGCGGGGTTCCTGAGATCCTGAGAGACTAGGAAGGGGAAGTGAAAGCTGGCCTAGGAGGGAATGCATATGGCCAAGTCAAATCTATGATGCAGTAAAGCCAGAGCTGAAAACAGAAGTAGCAGTGTGGGTCAACCAGGATGAAAGCTGAGGGAGTGGCTTAGAGCAAGTGGCAAGGCTGACGATCAGGAGGGTTGGGAGAGTCTCTGAGGGGAGAGTGGCTCTTCATGAAGGCAGAGGGCTCCCAAGTGGACATGGGAACTTCCTATGGCCAGGCGCTCTGATTCTTCAAGCAAAAACGAAAACAAAAACAAAACCTCAGCTTTTAAATTTCCAGACCTCGAATGTTGATAGTGATATGACAAGCATACAAAGGGGAATAAATCATTTTAACATATCTGTGGGGCACCTAAAGGTCAGGCATGATCCACGGTACGATGCCATGACCACAGTTCTGTGTACCATAGCACCCAGCCAATGTGGTGCAAGCAGAGCTGCTGAATGCCATGTGACCCTGTGTTCTCAAGCCTGTTGTTTTTAGCATGTGTGAGGGCATAGGTTAGAGCCCTAGTACCACTAAACAAACAACAACAAACCCAGAAACAAAAGAACCCTTACACCTGTTACTGCAAGGCAGACACTGAAATCGAGCTTGTCTTAGGTTAAGCCTCAACCTGTTTGTTTTTCAACAGTATTGAATGTTAAGACTTTGGATCATCCCTTCAATAAACACAGACAGAGGGCCTAATCTCTATGCAAGGCCTCATGCAAAATCATTAACTCCCAAGGCTCCTGAGTGAGAATTTTCAGAGCATGCTAATAATCTGAGAAGGGAAGTATCAAACTCATCTGAAAAATCAATTTTCTACCACTTCGCAGCTTTAATTTCCCAGGTGGTCACAAAATCACCCTCAGGTATGCTGTGCTGGGGACTCTATATAACAGACTTTCTCTCCCCTATCTTCCTTCCCTAGGGTCTCCCTCTTCTCCAGAGAGCCTGGACTGGCCAAGAACTCACAGCCCTCCTGCTTCGGCTCTCCTACATCTGAGTTGGTAGGCATGCACTACCATGATGCTACTAAGTTTATTAATCATCCATTACTATTGTGGGGGAGAGGCGGGCCCACAGCAGATATATGGAGGTCCATTTGGACAACTTTGTGGAGTTTGACTTTCTCCTCCCACCTTTATGGGGATCAAACACAAGTTGCCAGGTTGTATGACAAACACTAGCTGAGCGATCTCACCGGCTTGCAGCTATACACCGTATAGCTCCTTTCTAGAACTAGCCATCCTACATTTAAAAGAAAAAAGTAGCAAGTCCTAAGGGAAAAAACAAACAAGTATATAAACATAGATGACAAGTCAGTAGAACTGAAAAGCCTACCCTGAAACAGAAACTGAAGCTATGCCATGGGTTAAAATTACTTATGATAACACTGTCCTGATTCTAACTCATCTTAGGAATGGACAGGTCCTAGAACAAAGAGTTCAGAAATTTTTATCTGGGGTCTGATTGCTCATATTTCTTATAAAACAGTATTAATGCATTTGTAAATGGCCAGATATAGGCCATGAGCACATAAGCGTAAAAGACTTTGTTCTAGAACTATGTATCTCATAGTTCAGAACAGCGATTCTCAATTTTCCTAAGCTGTGACCCTTTAACACATTTCCTCACGGTATGGGGACTCCCAGTCATAAAATTATCTTCATTGCTACTTCCTAACTATAATTTTACTGCTGTTGGTAGTCATAAGGCAAATATCTATTTTCTGATGGTCTTAGGTGACCCCCAAAAGGGTCATGGTCCACAGGTTGAGAGCTGGTGGTCTATAAGGACATTTGTAACAGTTTTGGAGAAATCTCTGTTTCTGCCTCTTTGTCTCTGTGCTGGGCTTCTATTTCTGAGCCACCTCCCCATTAAGTCCACTTTCCCAAATTTCAATCATTACAATGCCTATCTTCTTCAAAACCTTACTCTCACTTAGAATAATTCAATATTTATTTGCTGTACTTACTTTAAACAGTGATATTTTCATAATACAGAAAACAAGCCTAGAAATCCCAACAGAGAGGACATTGAAATGAATGCATAAGAACCCATAAAAATGTCTGTCTAAGGCCAAGCATGGTGGTACAGGTCTGTGATCTCAGCATGTGGAATGGGAAGTGAGAGGATTAGGAATTCAAAGCCCAGAGCTGGCTGAATTGCAGTTTCAAGGCCAGAGGGAGATCCGTGAGAGACCCTGTCTCACCCACTCCTAACAAAAGTTTGTCTAAGTACAATCTTCGAGCTCTCCCCTGCTGCAGTCCCGGGGAGGGAAATACCCTCATTACTCTCACCTCACTGGCTCAGACTTCATATGACTTCCTAAGATCAATTCATGAGTTACAAAGTTGACTTAAAGCCAAAATATTTTAGCCATTCCTTTAAGCTGCCTCGTGGGATAGGGGGTTCCTTCCTTCTGCTCTTAGCTCCACTGTGAATGCCCTGAGATTCCAAATGTAGACACCAGTGAAAGGGAACACTGGAGAAGACTGAAGTGAGTGTGCTTATTAACAGGACACTGCTGCAGCTAGGATGCCCACAGAAGCCTGTTAGAAGGGAGTGGAACAGGTAGCAGGCTAAGGAGTCCTATCCTGGCTTCCCCCAACAACTTTCTCCCATATTCACCTTGAATCTTGGTTTAAAAACAGAAACCCTTGCAATACTTTAAAAAGTATTTGGCTCAGACATCATCAACCCAAAAGTCCCTTCATATATAGACTTGGAAAGAAACTGAACTCTAAGCCAAACAGACTGAGTGTAAAAGAAAGGTGGTTCTTGCTTGGTTCCGCCTGCTGCGAATAGCTGTTGTCAATGTCAGTTTTAAACTCAGTGTATCTTTTTACTGTTCAGTTTTATCCCCAGAACTAGCTGCTTTAACAATAGCACGTTGAGGCTCCAGTCACCTACTCTGAATTAGGGCAGCAGGCACCCTCACTGATTGGTGCATCCTCAATGATGGAAGGCCATCTGTGAGGGAGCACTCCTTTGTATTAAGCCACTGACTGTGAATCTTCCATGAGTACAGTGAAGATCTTTAGAATCTTTAGCTAATCTACACAAGAAGCTCTTGGAGGAGAAACTGTAGTCTCTGCTTCATTACATTAACAGAAAAGAACATCGGCTTTGTCACAGAGATGCCCAGTATCTCAGACCTGACGTATGGCATTCAAAATGGGAATCGCTGTCCTTATGCCAAAAGACTTTGATATAAGCCTTCCCAAACCTTGCATGCTTGCACATGTGTGTATGTGTGCTGGTCACTTTCACAAAGCAGCTTCTACAGCATGGCTGCATCTCATTATCGCACATGCAAGGGGGTTATTCAATTTTCCAAACTAAACCCCTACTGGGAGACATTAATAATACTTACATGCATTTGCTCTAAGTGGCACTATGATAACTTGGCACGTGCGCCTTCATGAACATGTTTGTTATAACTTTCCTGGTGAGACTCCTTGCTTTAGGGAATCCCAACATGGCTCTGGGTCACATTTTGCATAACCTCACGATATCTTATATAATTCTTGAGAGTTGAAATTTCTTTACTCACCCCTAGATACAAACCAGCTTAGACATTAATGCACAGTTAATAAAACCAAGTGCCAAGTGCTAGAGGTGAAGGGGGCAGAGGTGTGATTCCTGCACTGAGCATCAGAGGGGGAAGGCTTACCAGCCAGGTGTGGTGTGGTGCATTGAGTGTACGGAAGGATACGAAGTAACTATGGAAACAGACGGAGAGAACAAATGACTTCTTTTGTGAGGGGAAAAAAGAAGCGTAAATGAACATTAACTGAGGTTCTCTAGGCAAGCAAGTAATGGGAGACTTGTGGGCAGAAGCTGACATGTTTAAATATACAGATATTATGATATTAATGCCTTGAGTAAATGGAAAGCTACTGTGTACTTTGCAATAATCAAACATGGGCAGTTTGAATGTGGAAGAATAAGCAACCCAGCTCTCGGTCTATCAACAGCAGCAGCAGCAGCAGCAGAGAATGCTCAGGTCTTACTCCATCATGGAAGGTGGAATTGTGCAGCAGTCCTGGATGGCGGTCAGTGGGGATGTCAGGTGGGCTGTGTAGGAGGCTTCTACAACTTGCTTGTTCCGATTGACCACGTCCAGGTAACGGTTGAACTTCTCCCGGATTTTTTTGGCTAGCTGTGGATGATAGTGAGCAAAATAAATCACCTATTTACTTCATCTGTCCTGATAAACTTATGAATTTGCATCATGAGATGCAGACATTAAGCTTCAGGTAACATATAAATTATACCCAGATCATCTTTACTGGGTGGGTGGGAGAAAAGTTGCAAAACACATGGACATCATGGTAGGAAATTTAGACAGCAATAAAGTATCATCCGCCTATGAATAGAGGAAGCTATATTTCTGACCCCTCAATTGTCCGAATTCAATGGAATGATGTATAGCTCTGCTGGAAAACCAGAAATGAAGACTTCAGATATTATTACTGTCAGCGTGACAGCACACACACAGTGTAGCTGAGAGCAAACAACGTTAGGAGAGAAGAGCAAGAGACCTTTTCTGGTTCTTGGAGTCACATAAATGAGATGGGGACTAATGGCCAAAGGGAAGCGACACTCAGTGCCTTCTGCTGTACAGCCCTTGGGGACCCCAATCAAAGTCTTCCATGGGAACAGCAATTCTCTAGGGAGGTTCAACGTAGACATGCATATTAAACAATATGTATAATTAGAAATATACTTGGATGGGACCCATTACACCATTAAGATGGACAAATGTCTTTCTTAACTGCTGTGAGGAGAACCCTTTATCATGATTTACCTTCATGTGGGAATAAGGAGAGCACATTGGTACACATACGGTTATTACCTCCATTGCTTCTACCGAATACCACAGCTTAATTGTAGATCTCCAAGGAAAACCATGTTGTTTGTCTTCCCCTTGAACAAAATGTTACCCAAATGAGATGACTGATAGAATTATGGCTAATTGGTTTTGCAGAGCTATTCATTAACGGCACTCTAGCAGAGAACTAATCATCCCCGCTGGGTCATGCAGCTCACACAATCTAGTAGCCTACAGGCGGGGACGTGGAGGCAACTGGAATATCTCCATTTGTCGTTTTCAAGACAGTGTTTCTCTCAGTGACATTCACAAAGCAGTGAAGTTTGTAAGCTTTCCTAAAAATTATATGAATAAAGCTTGGAAATTTTTCTGGACAATTACTATGAAAGTAATTTGATACTGAGTCGTTCTCTTGGAGAGAGAGCAGCTGTATGAATGGAGAATTAACTTGATGTTGGGTGGTTCTCTTGGCAAGAGAGAAGCTGTACAAATAGGGAATTCCCACATCCATCTACACTCTTACTCCCTGAGCTAGACTTCTTACCATAAAAAAAACATAAAACAATTCTCTATGGAGGTCACTGAGGTGGTATGTACAGAACACTTCAATTTTTACATCTCAAGTTAGGCCACTAATTATGTTGTCCCATGTGGCAATCTCTAGCGACAACTTTCAGAACTTGGTAGGAACTGCTATCAAGTAGACAGTAGCAGCCAAGAATATACCTAAACATTCTGCAATGTGTAGGAGGGTTTCCCATAACCAGAAATCATCTAGTCCCAAATTTCCTCCTAGAAATTACCAACATTTTTTGGTTTAGTAACAAACAACTTCTTTTAAAATACAATCTATGTATGTACCTACATACCAACCTATCTATCAGTCTATCAATAAATCATCAGGCTGCCAGGATCAAATTCAGGTCCCATCATGCTAGACACATGCTCTACTGAGCTACCTCCCTAACCCAGAATATTTCTTAAGTGTACAACTCCATCAAAAAGCAGGTTTTATCTTTTCTGTTTGGCTACTAACTTTTGATAAGGTAAATACCATTAATTTCTACCTGGAAATGTCAAGGATATGTTCCATTACGTGGGAATAAATGTCCCAGAACAGGATAAAGATAAGGTGCACTTAAAAGAACTGAACTTCTAAATAAAATCTTCACCAACTCATTTGAAAATGGGCATGAGATCTGCCTGCCTTTCATAACAAACACCTACTCTCCTAACATATACCTCCAGATTGGAAATTCTCAAAGGCTTTGCTGCACATTTGCTGAGTGCCAACTTTTAAGATTCGGAGCTTTGAAACGCCAGCTATTTCGATATGGCCGACTGCCTGTTTCCATACAAGCCTTGAGCTAAGAAAGAGTCTGCATTTTCAAGTGTTTGTACTGAAGCAACATTTTAAAATTATATTAAATTTAAACATGAATATCCATAAATGGAGTCTGGGACACATTAATTTGGTTTATGCTGGATTCATCATCATCAAGACCTAATATCTGACAGAAACAACTTCAAAGAGTAAAGATTCAAAGTTTACTCAGAGGGTTCCTTTGGTCCACGGTCACTTGGTAAGAACATCATGGTGGACGAATGTGTGGTGGGAGCAGGTTTCACCTCATGATGGAAAGGATGCAGATCCTTTGTTTTTAGGTCAGGAAGTCTAACACATCCCCCAGATGCATCCCTGGTCCTAGTGTGGTATAAAAATCTGCTTTAATGTGTCTCTTCATTAAGAAGTGGGATCTAATATGCCTCCTACCCCACCACTGGAATCCAAATAGTGTTATAATGACTTCCATCAGTAGAGTATATGGCAAGTTATACTATATTACTTTTAAGCCTACGTTATAAAAGTTCCTTCTACCTGTGCATCCTTAATGGAAACTCCGAGCTACCATTCTGTAAGAAACCAAAGACACAGGGAAGGACGTGTCATGTGCTTAGTTGTGAGCCTAATCAAAGGCTCAAGCATGTCCTGGAGTCATCCTATCTGAGCACAAGTCAAAAAGCCTCTAAAAGGGCTGGAGTGATAGCTCAGTGGTTAAGAGCAGTTGCTATTCGTCCAGAGGACCTTCATTTAATTCCCAGCATCCATATGGTGGCTTACGACTATCTCTACTTTCAGTTCCAAGGGATCACACATGCTCTTCTGAACTCTGAGGGCACTGGGCACACATACAGTGTGCCGCACATACATACAGGCAGAATACTCATATACATAATTACATCTTACAAATAAGAAGAGGCTTCACAAAAACTCTAACCCCAGAGTCCTCCCTGTTGTCTATGCAGACACCACAGAACAGATAAGCCACCCTTGCAGGACCTGGTCTAAACTCTTTACTTATACAGTCCATACCGCTAAGTTATAGGGAACCCTCCCCCTCCCCCAGTAATAGTTAAATCAAACAGCTAAGAGTTGGCTGAATCCTATCCTAGGGCAAGTATGTTGAAGGCAACCTACAAGAAACTGCACAGATCCAGGGGCTGCATCTGAATTAGCAACATTATAACTTCTAGAGTACAAACCTATAGCACAGAAATGTCAGAGACCTGTCAGAAAAATCTAACAGCTGCCCTGGGAAGCAGATTGCTATATGCCAGACACAGACAACAAAATGTAGACATTCTTGTTTGATGTCAATGAGGTTAAGTAGTTAGCACAAGCCAGAGAGCCATACGAAGATCCAGTTACTTGTTTTAATTCTTGTCTGTGGAACCTGTGTTCACTTGCTCACACTAAGCAAACGGAAAGAAGTTACAAATGTAACCTGAACGGAGGCTACATGACAAGTGTCATAGGTTAAAACAGCTGAGCTTAAGTAGACAAGGTGCAGAGCGGGATGTTACAAAGTCCTCAGCCTGGGCTGGCTGGAACTCCAGTTGGGGGTGGAGCCATTGGAGTGGCTGATAAAAGCTTTGGGGAGTGCCTGCTTTTGACTTCCTGGTTAAGGTCTGTCTCAAGCTGGTATCTCCCAACTGCCCTTAACCCTAGAGCCTGGCATGGGCCAAATTAACAGGATATACACCTCCTTCCCCAAGCTGCATTCTTTGTAGTGGCGGGGCAGGGGTGTGCATGGCACAGAACCTACATACAGAGTCCAGTTATCCATGTCAGCTAAAAGATCTCACACGCTTTTTCTGTCTCTATCAACTTCCAGTTTTTCATGTGACACCCTATCTTGCCAAATGAAAAGAAAGAAGGAAGGAAGGAAGGAAGGAAGGAAGGAAGGAAGGAAGGAAGGAAGGAAGGAAGGAAGGAAGGGAAAATGCCAACATTTGCTGAGTGCTTTATAAAGTTCCCTCACTACACGTACCTTTTCTTTTTCTAGAGGGTCGTACTTAACAACATCCAGCCTAGAAAACACCATGTAAGACTCTAGAAAAAGAAAAGGTATGTGTAGGGTAAGGAGGTTGCATTGCAAATTTCCAAGAGAAGTTCTGCTGCGTAGAAGTTGGAAGCTTAGGCTCTGAAGGAAGATTTCTGAATTCCTACCTCTTCAGGACATTGAGAAAGTGACTTAATCTTCAATGCCTGCCCCTGGGAAACAAAGGCTTGTACCATACAAGGTTTTATTTTGTTTGCTTTTTAAAATAGGTTCGAGTAGTCCTTGATCCCCAACCTCAGCCCAGAGCGAGTACCTGGAATTACAGTCTTGGGCCTCTTACCCAACTTAAAGGGGTTTTTAAAGGATTAAATTGATATATACATGTGAAATGCTTAGTGAGGGAACTTCATAAAGCATTCAGCAAATGCTTGCATTTTCCACCACATCTGGTTTATATAGCGCTGGGGAATGAACTCAGGGCTTCCTAGATGCTAGGCAAGCAGTCTACCAACTACACGGACAGCATCTCCAGTTCTTGCTTTTTTTAAAATCCACTTTAACAACTGCTGTGAGATTCTTGGCGGAACACCATACATGATGCAGCCTCTTACTTCACAACAAAAATTAGGATTTTTAAAAATACAATTTCATTCGGGATTCTTCATAATTCCTATGAAAGTACCCCATTAAAAGGGATAGGATCAAATACGACATAATATAGTCCCCGGAAAACTAAACCCCACAATTCCTTGCTAATATTACCTGACTATGTTAACTAACTTAATGGTATCCGACTAAATTATATGTTCTGATAACTCAAGCATCTTTAAATATTTCCTATTTTATAACCTGGACAGAGGACACAGGGAACAAACTGCTCCTTTCCCTTAGGGAATCAGTTTCAGAATTCAATATTTTGTTCAAATTTCTTTTTTTAAGCTTAATAAACCCCATTACAATACTCTGATGTAAGAGAAAATAGCA